GAGGCATTAAATGTGGTGGTTGTTTTTGTTCATGAGGGAAAAGAACTCCGTACAAACTTTGAAAGGCTCCCTCAAAGATCATAACCAAAGCATTCCCTGCTAACTACGTGGGAGAGTCAGGTCTGAAGACAGCCGAAACCCTTTTGAGGGGAGCAACCAAAAAGTAAGGGGGCAGTTTATCTGGTCTGCAGACAAAATTGTGAACTGCTTTTATTTAGCCTTTATTTTTGCAGCGTGTGGCAAGTTACGTATATACATACTGATGTTCCTTCTAAGAAACTTGGACAATTTTGCTTTAATTGTCACTAATTAACAAAATAGGTAAAACATCAAAAGTAATGCACTTGTAGAAAATAAAAAACAAGCTAGAAGAGGGGTATTATTATAGTTTATAGCAAATGTTTTCTTGTCTTCGATGCTGCAAGATGCAGTACAGATTTGTCCAAATCCAATGCTCTAGTAAGGTCCTTATATAAGTTAGAAGAACAAGATCAGCTTTACATTCAGGTACCATTGACATGGTTGGTTTCCTAAAATTTCTGTAATAAATTTAAATATTTGCCTGGGGAAAGGGGGATGTGACTAGATCAGTACTTTTCATGCTTTTTTCATTCAAAGAATCCTTTTCATGCCAAGTTTAAAAGGTAAAGGTAAAGGACCCATGGACGGTTAAGTCCAGTCAAAGGCGACTATGGGGTTGTGGTGTTCATCTCGCTTTGAGGCCAAGGGAGCCAGCGTTTGTGCACAGACAGCTTCCCGGGTCATGTGGCCAGCATGACTAAACCACTTCTGGTGCAGGGGGACACTGTGATGGAGACCAGAGCGCATGGAAACGCCATTTACCTTCCCACCACAGTGGTACCTATTTATCTGCTCACACTGGCGTGCTTTCAACCTGCTAGGTTGGCAGGGGCTGAGACAGAGCAACGGGAGCTCACCCCGTCTTGGGGATTCGAACCGCCAACCTTCTGATCGGCAAGCCCGAGAGGCTCAGTGGTTTAGACCACAGCACCACACACGTCCCTCATGCCAAGGTAACAGCCAAGGAATCACTGCATGGCTGCAAAAGAGTCCCACCACATTGCAGAGGATCATGTGGCATAGACTAGGCAGACCCATGGAGAACCAGCTGTGGCCAGTTAGGCACCACTGTCTCGTGGAGAATGCATGACTCTATGCCAATAATAATAATAATAATAATAATAATAATAATAATACTTTATTATTTATACCCCGCCCATCTGGCTGGGCCTCCCCAGCCACTCTGGGCGGCTTCCAAAAGAATATTAAAATACTGTGATACATCAAACATTAAAAGCATCCCAATGCATCGCAGGAAAGATTGGAAGCCATGGACAAGTGGTGTCTCCGAAGAGCCTGTCCACCATTATTAATCATCTCCTCACAAGGGAGAAGCCCAGGGTTTGTTTACACAAGGATGTGACCCAATTTCGCAAACTGGACATCTCTTTCCTAACCGTTGGTACTGTTTCAGCTCTCCCTTACACCCTCTGGAAGTTGTTCCTCTCCTGGGCTTTGCCTTTCGATCCCCAAGGCAAGAGAGCGTCCCTCACACGGCATTCCCTAGAACACTGCTTGAAAAATCAGTTGTCAACTCAGCAGGGCGTGACGAGTGGCTTGTGGTGCAAGTGAGGGTGGGCCACGCAGCTGTAGCACCCCCGTTATTTTCTACCCCTCTCTTTGGGGGATTCCTTTTGGAGAAGGAAAATGACTGATCGCGAGAGAGACAGCAAGGTGAAGAAGAAAGGAAGGAGTGAGGAGGTGCGCCGAAGAGAAAAGACAGGCATGTGCAGTAGAAAATAATAATAATTAAAACATGAATCTCGTGTTGCAGATTTGTGTTAAAGATGGATCCTGGGTTGAAGGCTAGAGGGCTGCATGACCTACGGTCAGCGCTATAATCCTATGATTCACCTCTTCATTTATTTAAGGGTAGTTTAACATGCACCTTCTTTCCCAAGCGAATTCACTGAAGGCAGGAACTCCTGGCAATTTAAGATTATTGCTTTTGAATGCCAGGTGCTTCCTGTTCCTTCATAATAGAAGTAGTCCTTGTTGGCTGTTTTCTCTCCCTCTCTTTCTCTCTTTTCATTTACATGCAGCTTATTCTAGGCTGGGCTACCTTCTCCCACATTAAAACTACTCAACAAAATGGAATAGATGTATACATTTCAGCCATCTGTGTCCCTGACAACAATGCGCTGGTGTCTCTTTCCTGGATTGATAGTATCCTGAGGGCAAAAGAAAATGATGTTTATGATATAAGCAGGCAAAGAGCCTTTTGAAGTGGCTGCTCAGAAATGAATTGGAGGTGGAAGATAAAAGAGCTGAGGAAACCCTGAATGTTCTGAATGTTATTTGTGCACAGAGATGGAAGGACGGGGAGACACAAAGGGGGAGGGGGCGGCCCCTTGGAAAACATTATCTCAGCCAGCAATAATCATAATTACAATGCAAGGTGTTAATTGTCCATGATTTTTCTAAATGTTTCCCCCTCCAGTACAAAACATGTCTTTGTTTCATATGTCTAATTTATCCATGAAGGATGCTCAAACCCAGATTTTCTCAGGCCTGTAGCCAGGAATGTTGTAAAGGGCAGAGATAAGGATATGCTGTGGGGAAGAGGGTCTGAAATTGGTCTGAAATCAGTCTTAAACTGCCAAATCCTAAGTTATATTTTTTAATAAAAAAATTAATGCAATTTTTAAAATGGAAGGAAAAATAATGCCATGATTCTAGTGCCTTTGCACATTGACCAGAGTGCTGGAATTTGGAAGCAACTGGACCAGAATGATAACTGTTGCACATTGCCCCCTTTGTTGTGGTTGTTGTTTGTTTGTTTAGTCGTGTCTGACTCCTTGTGACCCCATGGACCAGAGCACGCCAGGCACTTCTGTCTTCCACTGCCTCCCGCAGTTTGGTCAAACTCATGCTGGTAGCTTCGAGAACACTGTCCAACCATCTCATCCTCTGTCATCCCCTTCTCCTTGTGCCCTCCATCTTTCCCAACATCAGAGTCTTTTCCAGGGAGTCTTCTCTTCTCATGAGGTGGCCAAAGTATTGGAGCCTCAGCTTCACGATCTGTCCTTCCAGTGAGCACTCAGGGCTGATTTCCTTAAGAATGGAGAGGTTTGATCTTCTTGCAGTCCATGGGACTCTCAAGAGTCTCCTCCAGCACCATAATTCAAAAGCATCAATTCTTTGGCGATCAGCCTTCTTTATGGTCCAGCTCTCACTTCCATACATCACACATTGCCCCTTTTTAGTTCCATAAATAATAAGACTGGATCTCTCTTTCTCCATCCTCTCTCCCCATAAATGAAAGCTGAACCTTCATGGAAGGGTTATGGAATTAGGGATGCCCAAAGGTTTCGTTTCTGCATTGTGGAAGGTGCACGTTTTAAAATGAACTCTCCTGATTCGTACCTCCTGGACTATGATGTAGATGAGAAAACAAGCTTGAATCCAGGGAAGTCATTGGGTAAGCAGAACAACCTTCTGCTCATGCAACAAAATTCCCTCTAACTCCTCTGACCTCCATGTGTCCCTGAAACCTCAAAAAACAAAACAACAAAAGCTGCTGCAGTGGGTTGTGGGAAAACATACCCCAGAGCACTTTAGTGGGCATCCCCCTACTCTTTTTTATAATTTTTATTAAATTTTCTGTTTTACAATTTTGAATACTCATTTAAACATCCTTAAAATATCATTGACTTCCCTTCTTCTCTTTCCCAGGTTCATTTTGAAAAACCATAAATGCCTGCATATTTTACATAAACTAAACCATTCAGTGCTCCATTATTAACATCCATCAAAACTTATTTACACTGTTGAATTTATCTTAATGCTGCCAATGTTTTCAAGTGTACACAATTGCAGTCGTTAACAGTCGTCAACAGGTTTACCATACCCATTGAGTCAATCACCCATCTCCTACTACCCTCCTGCAAAAAACCCCACCCCACCCTCCCACTATATATAAGGGTCTGGTGACTCCTGTTTCAGTGTGCATGCACATGAAAGCTCATGCCAAGAACAAACTTAGTTGGTCTCTAAGGTGCTACTGGACAATTTTTAATTTATTTAATATAATTCAGTTTTTAGTCAATTAGTTAAAAACACATTTAATGTAACATCTAGTTTGGCCCATGGGTTATGGAAAAAGAATATGCCACATCACAAGTGATGTGAATATGGAGGGAGTAAACAGATCGGGCACTTCATCCTGTTTATCCGATGGATCTATCAATCTGGCTTATTTATTTAGACAAAACCAGTGATCAGAAATGGACAGAGTACATTACCCAAATTTTTAAACAAAGAATCATCTTCCTCAAGGGGAGGAAATACTACGCAGTAATCTTCTCCTATTCCTCCGACTGTTCCTTTGAACAAAACTTCTTCTGTATATTACAATGCAGTATGTTTTTAGGGCACTGAAAGATAGTGTTCATTTTTCATTTAAATCTATTAACTCTATCTTCAAAGTCATCCATTCAGGATTCCAAAATGGCAGCATGTAATCAATAGCATAATCAGTCTTGTAGAAGCCTATTCACAGCCGTTCATGTGCGCTGTTGAGATACAGAGACGGATCTCTGTGCAATTTTTCACATAAACAATAGGCGAATGATATTTTGTTATAGTTAACTACAGCTGAACCAAGGCCAGCCTTAGGTTGAGTTATTACATTTCGCAGCATTTTACTTACTGGTGGAATCCCCTTCAAAAAGATTTTCTTTTAATGGTTCCCATTAAACTCCTCATTCAAATCCGTTCCCTTCAGCCAGGGATTTATTGTTAGCTAATGAATATTTACATGAGATTAAAGCACTGGGGCTGCCAACAAAATCAATACCGTAATGTGCTGTGGGGTTTGTGGTGGCCACAAAGCTTCTAGCATCTGTTGGATGTCACACTGATGACGTCACGAAGACTTAGTGGCAGAGGAGGTGCTTAGCAACAGGGTCTCCCATGACCAGGTTTCTGAGGGAAGAGAGAAGAGTTTGTAGTGGGGCAAGAAACAGGACCATGAGGAAAGATGGTCAGAGTTGCTGGAGTTGAGGAAGAAGCAGCAGTAGCAGGTAAGTGAGGCAATTCACTGCCAGATTTATTCCAGACCCTTCAAGTCTCCCTATTTTCCAGGGACAGTCCCAGGTTTACACAAGCCATCCTGGTTTCTGATTTGATCCTAAGATGTCCCATTTTCCCTTAGGATGTCCCTATTTTCATTGGAAAAATGTTGGAGGGTATGGAATAGGATGCCCCTATATTCATCAAAGAAATGTTGGAAGGTATGCTATTCCACTGCCACTGTGGGGCAATCATGGGGCCCACATCTGCTCTGGACCAGTCAGTAACTACAGGCACATGCAGTGCTGATGGAACTGTCCCCCGTTGCCACTACCACCTTGCTAAGAATGAATTTATTTCCCCCTCCCTCAGTTGCCCCTCAATAGCAGCAGAGTGTACCAGAGAATCATCACATCAGCCACCGCAAAGGGGAGGAAAAGGTCTAGGAAAGGAGGTAGCAAAAGGCCCAGAGAAGGAGGAGACTTGGGCGAGGCAGGATGGAGAAAAGAGAGAAACGCACGGAGGAGTCTGAAAGAGGGTCATCACAACCATCAGCTGACAACTTGCCAGGACTCAAGGCAGCGCTGTGTCAGTTAAGGAATGTGTGCACTACCAACCATGCAGCTCTGGACAAAGAAGGGAATTGCGGGGAGACCGGTCACCCTGGTAGGAAGCCTCTTCTTACCAACCAGGCGGAATGGATCAAGTGGTGGTCAGAGAGTTTCACCAGAAGCTCCTAGGGCAGGTTTACCTGCAGCCCCAGCTTTTTAAAATCAGATGTGGGGAACCTTTGGTCTTCTAGAGGTTGCTGAACTTCAACTCCCAGAAAGCATTGCCAGTGGCCAGGGAGGATGTGAGCTGTAGTTCAGCAATATCAGGAGGTTCTCCACACCTGGGATGAATCTTCCCTCATGGTTTTTAATGTTAAGGAAGGGTTAGAGAAGGGTTTTGATAATGTAAATGGACACATGGCGCCCTACTTTTTATGTTCATGATGCATTATTACCTTGTCTTTTTTAATCCCCTTATGCTGCTAATTGGTGAAACATGAAGGGGAGGAAGGAGGAAGGAAGAATTAAAATGTGATACCAGTAGGTGGAGCAGAACAACCAGCGACCAACAGCAGGGAAAGAAACAGTGTTTTGGGAAATAACGTGGGTGGGTATTACTAACATTTGACGGGGAAAAAACAAGGTAAAAAACATTTTAGTTAACAAGTATGCCCTGTGACATTTTAAAATGCCATATCTAATATTGTTCCAGTAAGGGAAAATGACGTTAAATGGGTCAGCGTAGATCCAGCCCTGATTTCAATGGACTCAACGCTTCCTCTCGATTGTGGAGATGTTCTGGAATGATTGGGCTGAATCCAGACTTAGCCATACGGACGTAGAGCAGACCCACTGAAACCAAAGATACTTGAGCTTAACTCATGACTGAGTTAAGACCCATTGATGACAATAGGTCGATTCGTGTGTATGACTAAGTTTGGCTCCAACGATTTGCACCAAATGAAACTGGGTTGAAAGTCTTTTATGTGCAGCAGCATTTAATTGATCTTTTTTTTTCTTGAAAAGGCTACTCGAGGAGCCTCAGAAGACTGATGGCATCCAGTTCTTTCCTTTGGCGCCTACCACATTGTCTTTTCTCAATAAAATGCTAACCCCCTGAAGGACTTCAAGCTTGTTTGCTCCCCAAGTACCATTCTGTTCTGTGATTTGCTGTGTTTAACTCTTGTAGCAGGAGTGATTTCATTTTTCTTAGTTGCCTCAAACTTCCCCCTAGAAATATGTTTATTTACTAGAAAATTCTTGGTGTTCAGCCTGTCTTTCCCTCCCTCCAGGTCTAAGAAGACAGTTAATGGAGAATCTTGATGCCATTTCCATTGGCTTTGTTTTTAATGCATTTTCTAAGGACTTGTGCTTTCTGCTCCAATGACTCACTTGAAGGTTTTTGATGAAGATACCTCATCAATCATTAGCAAAAGCAAAGTGACCAGCTGCAACTAAATCCAAGGTAAGGCTGCTTGAAATTTTAAAACAACAGTGAACACAAACAATGCATTTCCCCCCCTTCTGTATCAATTTCCACCTGTCAGGTGCCTTGCAAAATAATATACTGGGGAAGAAAGGAGTCACATATTTCTACAGTGCTGCACTGCTTTTCAAGATACATTAAATGTTATGATTGGCATTACCAGAAATCTCACAAAAGTATGTGCATATGAGCAAGAGAAAAAGTAAAAGGCATAAAGCTATTATTTTCCCAAGGAAACACTCTGGAGAGACGAAACTTCAATGAAGCTCACAGAATGTCTGTTGATGAGTCACCAACTCTGAGCCTAACCTACATCATTGGGTTGTTGCTGGAAGAAGAAGAAGAAGAAGAAGAAGAAGAAGAAGAAGAAGAAGAAGAAGAATTCATTATTTATACCCTGCCCATCTGGCTGGGTTTCCCCAGGCACTCTGGGTGGCTCCCAACAGAATATTAAAAACACAATAAAACATCAAACATTAAAAACTTCCCTAAGCATGATTGCCTTCAGATGTCTTCTAAAAGTCAGATAGTTGCTTATTTCCTTGACATCTGATGGGAGGGCGTTTCACAGGGCGGGCGCCACTCCTGAGAAGGCCCTCTGCCTGGTTCCCTGTAGCTTCACTTCTCGCAGGGGAGGGAACTGCCAGAAGGCCCTTGGAGCTGGACCTCAGTGCCTGGGTTGAACGATGGGGGTGGAGACACTCCTTCAGGTATACTGGGCAGAGGTGAAGGAAATAAACAACTTTCTGACATTTAGATGACATCTGAAGGCAACCCTGTTTATGGAAGTTTTTAATGTTTGATGTTTTATTGTGTTTTTAATATTCTGTTGGGAGCCGCTCAGGGTGGCTGGGGAAACCCAGCCAGATGTGCAGGGTATAAATAAATTATTATTATTATTATTATTATTATTATTATTATTATTATTGCCTCAATGGCACCCTCTGGTGGCTTCACCCCAGGCAGAATTCCTGGCTAAATAGCCCTGCCAAAACACAGCAGAAGTTTCACGCATTCTGAACATGCATCCATTTTCAGTTTTCACTCTCCAGCCTTTAAATGTGGAAATGACAGCTCTGACCACTAGAGGGTGAAGTCAAACAAAATCCTCTAAATTCCTTACATGCAGTTTGGTCACCTGGTAGTGACTTTATTACGTCACATGAGCATCAGATCAGGGGTTCTTTTGTTCCTTGATTTTACATGCTGGGAGGGATCAACTTTGTCTGGCTTCAACCCAATCGAAGAAAATTTGGTTGATTAATTAATCAGTAGACCACATTTGCATATGTATCTAATTAAGATTTAAATGGGAAAATATGCAGGATTTGAAACACAATAGTCATTTATTTGGAGAAAAGCGATTTCATTTACACAATAATTACCAGATAATGTATTACTGTTGGGCTAACAACTGGGATTAGGCATTGCTATCTGATTCATCAAGCAGGGTGAAATAGTCTGGAGATTAATATTCTGGCTGGGTAGGCCTGAGGTTGCATTTACAATGTTTAGTCTATTGTTGTTGTTTTTACCCAAAGCTGTTTTTCAATGAAGCATCATTTTATTGTACTTTAGTGTTGTTCCTCACTCTGGGACTGCACGAACAGTGAAGAGCAGGTTGTATATAATGTGAATAAAATTGATAATAAATGAAATATGTAAATGTTGGGAACCCATTTGCCTTCTTAAATGCTAAATGCTGTGGGAAGCTGCAAATACTTACAGAATCGTAGAAATGTGGAGTTGGAATGGACCACATCTCGTCCAGGAGTCAGCAAACTTTTTTAGCAGGGGGCTGGTCCACTGTCCCTCAGACCTTGTGGGAGGCAGGACTATTTTGGGGGGGGGGATGAACAAATTCTGGCAAGCGATGGGCTGCACCTCACAACGGTTGGGAGGAATGTTTTTGCCAAAAATCTCAGAAACCTCATCAGGAGGGCTTTAAACTGACTAATGTGGGGGAGGGAGACAGTGCTCCTGAAGGTAGGAGTCTATCAATTGATGAAGATGATCATCCAAATGTCATAGACCAAATGGAGCAAACAGCACGCAGACCTAGTGGTGGGAGGAAAAAATCCTTAAATAAGAGACACGGGGAAATGATTAATGGACTTCAGTGTCTGTACACTAATGCGCAAAGCATGGGAAATAAACAAGATGAGCTTGAGCTCTTGGTACAGCAAACTAAATATGACATAATAGGCATCACTGAAACCTGGTGGGATAAGTCCCACGATTGGAATGTAATAATGGAGGGATACAATCTATTTCAGAGAAACAGACCAGACAAGAAAGGAGGAGGAGTGGTGTTATATGTCAGGGATGTGTATACCTGTGAAGAGATCCAAGATTTAGAACCTCAAAGCCAAAGTGAGAGCATTTGGGTCAAAATTAAGGGAGAGAAGAATAACAGTGACCTCATTGTGGGAGTTTACTATAGATCCCCAAGCCAAACGGAGGACATAGATGATGCCTTCCTGGAACAGATGGCCAAGCATGCAAAAGGAAGGGAGATAGTAGTAATGGGGGACTTCAATTACCCGGCTATTTGTTGGATGTCAAACTCAGCCAAGAGCATAAGGTCAAACAGATTCCTCACTGGCCTTGCAGACAACTTCATTGTCCAGAAAGTGGGAGAAGCAACAAGAGGAACAGCCATTTTAGATCTGGTCCTAACCAATGTTGATGACCTGGTTAGTGGGGTAGAAGTGGAAGGATCATTAGGCACGAGTGATCATGCTCTTCTGAAGTTTACTTTACAGCGGAAAGGAGCAGCCAAGCATACTAGGACTCAATTTATTGACTTTAAGAAAGCCGACTTCATAAAACTTAGGGAAGTGCTGGGTGAGATCCCATGGACAGTAATACTAAAAGGAAAGGGAGTTCATGATGGCTGGGAGTTTGTTAAGAGGGAGATAGTAAAAGCACAACTTCAGGCAATACCAATGAGACAGAAACATGGAAGGTGCCTAAAGAAGCCAGGGTGGCTATCTAAAGAACTTTTAACTGAGTTAAGATTAAAAAAAGGATGTGTACAAAAAATGGAAAAGGGGGGAAACCACCAAAGAGGAATTCAAACAAATAGCCAGCACATGTAGACACAAAGTCAGTAAAGCTAAAGCACAGAATGAACTCAGGCTTGCTAGAGAGGTTAAAAGCAACAAAAAAGGCTTTTATGGGTATGTTCGTAGCAAAAGGAAGAACAAAGAAACAGTGGGGTCACTCAGAGGAGAAGATGGTGAAATGCAAACAGGGGACATAGAAAGGGCTGAACTCCTCAATGCCTTCTTTGCCTCAGTCTTCTCCGATAAAGAAAACAATGCCCGACCTGAAGAATTTGGAGCAAATGATTCAGCAGAGGAAACACAGCCCAGAATAACTAAGGAGATAATATAAGAATACTTGGCTAGTTTAGATGTATTCAAGTCTCCAGGGCCAGATGAACTGCATCCAAGAGTATTAAAAGAACTGGCAGATGTGATCTCAGAACCACTGGCAGTCATCTGTGAGAATTCCTGGAGAACAGGCGAAGTCCCGGCAGACTGGAGGAGGGCAAATGTTGTCCCTATTTTCAAAAAGGGGAAAAGAGAGGACCCAAATAATTACCGCCCAGTCAGTCTGACATCAATACCAGGGAAGATTCTGGAGCAGATCATTAAGCAAACAGTCTGTGAGCACCTAGAAAGGAATGCTGTGATCACCAATAGTCAGCATGGATTTCTGAAAAATAAGTCATGTCAGACTAACCTGATCTCGTTTTTTGACAGAATTACAAGCCTGGTAGATGAAGGGAACCCAGTGGATGTAGCCTACCTTGATTTCAGCAAGGCATTTGACAAGGTGCCCCATGATATTCTTGTAAAGAAGCTGTTAAAATGCGGTCTTGACTATGCTACCACTCAGTGGATTTGTAACTGGCTGACTGACCGAACCCAAAGGGTGATCATCAATGGTTCCTCTTCATCCTGGAGAAGAGTGATTAGTGGGGTGCCACAGGGTTCTGTCTTGGGCCCGGTCTTATTCAACATCTTTATCAACGACTTGGATGATGGACTCAAGGGCATCCTGATCAAATTTGCAGATGACACCAAACTGGGATGGGTGGCTAACACCCCAGAGGACAGGATCACACTTCAAAACAACCTTGACAGATTAGAGAACTGGGCCAAAACAAACAAGATGAATTTTAACAGGGAGAAATGTAAAGTATTGCACTTGGGCAAAAAAAATGAGAGGCACAAATACAAGATGGGTGACACCTGGCTTGAGAGCAGTACATGTGAAAAGGTTCTAGGAGTCTTGGTTGACCACAAACTTGACATGAGCCAACAGTGTGACGCGGCAGCTAAAAAAGCCAATGCAATTCTGGG